TACACTGCAAATACTAAAATCCCTGATAACACCAGGTGATGTAGAGAATGTGGAGTTACTTTGATAGTAAAAGCACCTTTGGTATATATGTTGGAAAAGTGTTATACTGTAAAGCACTACACAAATACAAGACATTGTAATTTCAGTATTTGCCATATGATATAAAAAGAGGAAAGAAACAACCTTGGTCCTGGTTCCAAGTTTTAAAAGAAATTCATAGCAAAGATCCATAATTGAGGACAAGAATTAGTGTTGGGAAAATAGAATAGGGGTACAGTTGGGTGTGGTTTGGCACATCTTTGTAAGCAAATTGTGTGTGTGTGTGTGTGTGTGTGTGTGTGTGTGTGTGTGTGTGTGTGTGTGTGTGTGGAGTTAGTGCGCATGAGCACCAATGTATCTTTTTAGTTTTGTTGCTATTCTTGTGTTCTTCAGAGTTTGTGAAGCAGGCTGGCCGGCAGTCAACTGCGTTGGGCAGCTGCTCTGTGCAAGTGGCTGTGCTTTCCAACCTGCGGCTTCCAAGAACTTTTTTGCTGGTTACCTAACTCATAGACCTGCGTGTGAGGGGTCGGGTGACCCAGACTGGCATGTGAAGGGTTTGTGACCCAGTCTGTGAACGGGCTTGAGGGGTCTGTGAGCTCCAGACCCAGCCCTATCCCAACAATTGGCCCAGTCGGCAGGATTACTGGCAGATAAAAGAGCCTGACAACTGGCGTGGTCCTGTAGCTTTACAATTGGCGTCACGAACAGGATTAAGAGATCCACAATTGGCGATGTCGGCAGGATTACGACATTAGCCTAGCGTTACAATTAGTGATGTCTTCAACTACAATTTTAAGAACAGTAGAAAAATTCTACATTATTTCTCTTATTAACCTTTTATTATCCTCAATAAAAAGCAATGAGCATAAAAGTAATTCACAAATCAGTGAAAGCATCTGAATAGAGGGCTAAACTAACAGTGTATATATATTGCTTTACAGCAAAAGGAGAATACATTGATAGAATTGCCAGAACCTGGGTAAAAAGACAGTTTATATCTAAGGCTCCTGCAGACAAAATTCTCTAAAACCATCTGTTTCAATAATGCTTTTCAGGAACAGGATATAAAAGTCAACATAAAGTTGAACTTTCTGAATATCTAAACTGTTAAAACCTAAAGAGCAATCTGTATGTTTTAGCCACCAGATGAGCATTGTCAAAATTAGCATTTTGCCATGAACATTAAGGATACTAATACAATCTAGCACAGATTTTTATATCTGCTCAAGTGCCTGGACTTAAGGAATATAAGGAAGATGTGACCCTTTACGAACAACCAGAAACATTACCTATTGGTTTCTCAACCATTTTCCAAATCAAAACCTTCATTTCCAAAACACAAATACCACTCATTAAGTACTTCCTATGGACCAGGTACGGTGACAAGCACTTTATTGTCTGATTTAATCTCTGCATAATTGTCTGAAACAAATGTCATTACTGTCATCTTACAAATGAAGAAACAAAATCTTAGAAAAATAATGCCCAAAGCAACACAGCTATCAGTGGTCGGGCTAAGGAACTACAGAACCCAAACTCAAAGCCTTACTACTCACTGCAGTCCTGTAGAAATCTGCTATTTATTATTGTTGTTATTCCTTACAAAAACAGCTAATATTTACTGAACCCTTATCATGTGCTAGGCACTGTTTTGACTCATTTAATTCTCAGAACAACTTTATTAGGTAAGTAATATCATCTCTACTTTATGAGTGAAGAATAAATGAGATGTGCAAAAATCCTACATATATTACAAAATGTTTTCTAGATACTAGTAAAGTTTTGTAAGAAAAGCAATGTGATAGGGCCGGCCCGATGGCGCACTGCTATAGTGCGCCACTTGGGAAGCACGGCGGCGCTCCCGCCAAGGGTTCGGATCCCACATACAGACCGGTTCCCGCTCACTGGCTGAGCGAGGCGCGGGAGCAACACTGAGGGTTGCGATCCCGTTGCCGGTCCCGGTCCGGTACGGGGGCAACACTGAGGGTTGCGATCCGTTGCCGGACATGGAAAAAAGACAAAAAAAAAAAAAAAAAAAAAAAAGCAATGTGATAGAACTTTCTCACTAACATGTTGAGGATGAGTTGCTCCATAAACTCTCGAGGTTATTAGTTATTTCTACGATCTTCATGTTTGTTTCTGCCCCAAAATTCGTATGTTGAAATCTAATCCCCAATGTGACGGTATTAGGAGGTGACGCCTTAGGAAGATGATTAGGTTAAAAAGATGGAGGCTTCATGAATGTGAGTAGTGCCTTTATAAAAGAAGCCCCAGAGATCCCTTGAGTCTTCCCACCATGTGAGAACATAACAAAAGGTGCCATTCTATGAACCAGGAAGTGCCCAGGAAGTGAGCCCTCGCAAAACCTGGAATCTGCTAGAGCCTTAATCTTGGACTTTCCAGCCTCCAGAACTGAAAATAAATTTCTGTTGTTTATAAGCTACTCAGTCTATGATATCTTGTTCAAGTAGCCCACACAGATGAAGACAGAGGAAGACATGAGTGGAGAAGAAGTCTGATGCCCTAATCACCAAAATTAAATCAAATTAGCTACATTTAATAGAAGGAAAGCATGATTTGATGCTCTTTAACACTGGAATTTTAGCTGTCAAAATAGGACTATCGTCTACTATGATTCCAGCAATGGTATTATGACACAGGCTTTGAAGTAATATTAACAGCATGGGCTCTGAACTCAGATCACACAGCCGGACCCACAGATGACTCCCATCAACAGAACCAAAAGCTGCTAAAAGATCAAAGAGTACATGAGAAACTAAGTTGTTTTAAACTATTTTCTCAGCCAGAACAAAATAGAACAACACTTGGTACTATAAAATAATAGTTTCTGAAACTTGGTTGTTATACATACAAATGATATAGTGAAATGGCAGACCTCCTGTGCAAGAAAACTGGTATAAACATTCAAGTTCTATAAGACAGAAAAGTACACACTGGGTTCACTATAATCAAACTATACTTGAGTGACTTAAAGACATAGTCTCCAAAATTTTTGATTATGTACTCCTACCTTAAAAAGATATGAGCATGTATACTCTACCATATATATATATTTACTTACAAAGCATATAGAACACTATAATATATACGTTACAAAATATATAGAAAAGTAGATACTTTAAAAGGATTAAAAAAAAAAAGCATGAATAGACATTCTAAATGGACTACCTGGGATACAGACACTAGACTTTGGAGACCACTGAATTAGACCACTGCTTTCTGAGATATGGAGATAAAAGTGTAACTCAAGGGTTTTCACCCTCTTTCCCAGGTGACAAATATCTTCAGGGTAAAGTTTGAAAAGATCAAACTTGCCTTTGGCCTCCTTCCACTTTCTCATGGCATCCCCCACACTTCTATAGTGTTCCTTACCTGAGACTGCCTCCTGACCTAAGTCACCTACAACACTCAAATCATCCAAGCCTGAACCCTGCATTTTACGTTCCAAAACTGTCCCTTACCATCTCCTCACAAAATCCCCTTGCTCTGCTAGTAACTCCCAAGTTCAAGTGTTCCCACCTTTCTATTCTCACAGCTCTCCTCTTGTCACTCAACACACAGCGCTGCCTTTCAACTCTACTTCTTTCTCTCTCTCTCAAAACTATACTCACCTTTTCATTTCCTCTGTCCCAATTTTAGCACATGTCCCCATCATTTTATTCCTGAGTTAAATAAGTTCTCAAGCCTTTTCCTCACCCATCACTAAACAATTCACTCCTCACAGAGCCAGTAGAACAGTGTTATAATATGAAAATCTGATCCTGTCACAACCTTAAAACTTATCATTAAAATGCCTGAGCCTTCAGAATAAAGATCAAACTCCTTCAGTGGGCTCACAAGAAGGCTCCTCTCCTACACTTTCTCCCTATCCTGCTCATATTTCAGCCATGCCATTCTACTTGCAACTGTGCTTGGCCCAATATGTTTTTTCACAAGTTACTTTCTTTATTTGGAATATCTCCTAATCCTTATAATTAGAGTATAAGACACATCAAAAGTATGCCTCCTGTATTAATAGCAGTACAGAGAGTGTACCTTAGCTATCAATATGTTTTTTCACAAGTTACTTTCTTTATTTGGAATATCTCCTAATCCTTATAATTAGATTATAAGACACATCAAAAGTATGCCTCCTGTATTAATAGCAGTACAGAGAGTGTACCTTAGCTACAGCACACATTACATTTCATTATAAACCGCTGTATCTGTTATCTGTTTTCCTCCAATAGGCTGTAAATTCCTTAAAGGCAAGGGCTGTCTTTGTTATTTGTCTTTGTACCACTCATGTCTAACACACCATTAATCAAGGAGTACACATGAGAAAAATGACAGTTAAAAGAATGCCTCAAACTAATTTATTAAGGTCAGTATAACAAAAGAAAAAAAGCAAAGAGTCAAAGGAAATTAAAGTTCTCAAATATGTGTAGGGATAACTTTAAAAATATATAGTGGTAGTATAAACACCCTAACAATCCCCACCCAAAATGCATTCTAACAATTATCACTGATGATTCTAAACTTATGATCCCATACTACATACATTTTATCTGTATGATCGTCACTATTGCTTAAAAAAAAGCTAACTTTTTTTTTGAGTGCTTATGGCAACAGAATTATAGAAAGAAAAGATCTTTAATCAAAGAACTTCCTATAGATCAAAGAATTCAACAATAAACTATAAAAAGTTCTTGTTAGTACAAGGTAGTAATGAACACAACAAAAAACTAATTGTTTCTTAACTGTTGATACATATCTACGGCATCAATAAATTAGTCATTCTGAAATTAAACATAGATGAAAACCCTTTAATTATAACTTTGGCATAGGAAAATATTCTAGAAATTGTTGTATTAACACTTAATACTGGGGATCATTCAAAACATAAGCAACTATTATAGCACTCCTAAATAATAGCACATTGCAAAAGGAAGTTCATTTACCATTGACCATTACATAATGCGGCTGACTAAAACAGTACCATACCTCAAATTTGTTTTTCTCAACAGCAGCTTGCAGAGAAGGAGAGGATACCAAAGGCTGAAGAGGAGCATCAGAGGAGGAAATCTGGAGTGTAGACAAAAAGTCAGGAGAAAAACACAAAAAGAAGGTAATCAGAATTGATAGGCACAGAAAAGAAACAAAAAACCATATATTTCTGAGATACGGAAGCACTTAGAAGCACATTAACAAAGGAAAATAATGCATCAAGAAGGAAGCATTGTTTTTTAATTTCCATGTGAAATTTCTAAAAGTATTTAGTACAGAATAGTGTATGACTTAAAATGGATTTCACTAGCACTCAGATAAGATAATAACAAAAGTATCTGAAAAACAATTAAGCTTCTCAGATAGTTAATTTTAGTCAGTTACTATTGAAATACTAAGGTTCTGAAGCATGAAGACATATTGTCCCAAGTAGCAAGAAGGCAAAAATGAGTTTTTGTTTTTACTTATATTAACTTTTAGGAATGAAAAATAAAACAGAGCTAAAATTGTAAAAGTTAATTAAAATTTTAATCATCTGTTTAAGAAAACATGAGAAAGGCTGGGAGAAAAGGAGTAGATTAATGTAATATAATAGCTGTGCAGCAGACACACTTATTAAAAAGCAATTTATACACTTCCTTAAGATCAGCATGCAAACACCATTTCC